TGTCAGCAAGGGTCAGGAGATCTCACTAAATTACCACTGACTGTGTTTCTGCTTAAGGCTTTATGAAACCTACTGCCATCACAAATGCACAAACCTGGATTTGCACTTGAACATTTAATGTAATTTTAGGGCTGTGAAGAAAATTTGATCTGTACAAAATACAGCTCCCCTCATAAAAAACCATAAAAACCCACAATAAAAACTAATTATTGAAAAAAGACCCTTTCTGATCTTTCTTTCCCCCAACATCTACCACCACAACAACACACTTAGTGATACCATGTAACTGCAGACAGTAAAAAACCCGTAATACCCAAGAAAGAACATACATTTGAAACCATCATGGTGCTTTGCATTTTTCACTGTCGTTTTAGAAAATCTCTTAAAAAAACCTAGAAATATGTAGTGAGCCGTATAACAGCAATCACCAATATCTTCATGATGAAAATTAAAATACCTCTAATAATATTTTCCATGCAACGCATTCTAAAATAATACTTATGATAAAACAAAAAAGTAGAATATTCATCATTTTCTATTCAATACTATTCTACAGACCATTCTCACCTCTTACCTACCAGTCTTACAATGCTGCATATTTTGTAATGCCCTCCATTTCCTGATTTCATATTATGCTTTCCAGAAGACAGTGCCATTGCAAAAAAAACTATTTCAAATTTCTTCAATTCAGATACATAGAACATACCCAATACTATTGAAAGGATACCTCCACAGAAAAAAAAATACCCATTTTCCTTGTGAAGATGCATGTCAAACCACATATACATCAGATTAGTCATTAGTAAACTTACATGGCAACTTCTTTTAAGGCTACTACTTCAGAAAAAAAGTAATATGAAAAAGATCAAAGAGAGCCAGCCTAAATTTGCAGTTTGTAAGCAAGGGTGGAGAATTGCATATTCCATGGAGATGACACTGCACAGACACAACTGTGAGTACAGCACTGTAAAAACTTTATCACACTAGCAGCTATTAGTATCTCTAATTTACGAACAACTAAATTTCAGATATACGTAAAAACCAATTTGGGTCCATTATGGAGTAGGGTAACAGAAACAGAAAAGAGATAGCCCATGGACCAAAACCTGTGGGAAGTCAGCGAAACGCTAAGTCTGGCAGATACAGGGTCCTCTCACTGAATGTAGATTTAAAGCTTACCTGTAGCTGAAGGTATGGATAATATGCTATCCTAACAAATACTGTTAGTAGCAGTGCACCTTAGGGATAGTTCTTATGCTGACACAGAAAAAACACTTTCTCAGAAGTGGAATAAGGTTGTACCAGCACAAGTGATTCTTACCAGTATAACTGCACCTACATATGGATCTATACACAGCTCCCCTTCTGTTTAGAAGATGGATTTTCTCCTGTTGCTTCTAACCAAAGTAGTGATGCCTGCAAAAATGCTGGGGGGAGAGGGGTAGTGACAACATATAGTGCAGCCCTGGAAACAACTCATGAAGCCTTTTTAAGCAGAAAGTTGTCTTCACAGTTTGTGAGATGGGGTGCAGTCCTTTTAAAATAGGAGTGATGTGGTGTTGCAGACACAGCACTGAAGCCTATCACAAATGCAAACTGTTAAGACCCAATACAGGAAGTCATGTCAGATTACGTGTAACTTTGCATTCAATTGTGAAACGGAATGATTATTCAAATATATTTAATTAGCAATTGTATTTAATAGATTTTGAAGAAAGGGATAATCATTCGTCCTACTGCCCAGAACAATGTATTAAATTCAAAGAAAACAAGTTCCAATCAGAAACTATTCCTTTACATGGATTCCCCTGACTCCAGTGAAGTATGTGTCTTCGAAAACTGAGAAGCAATATATTCAGAATACAGATTTTTTTTTTCCTATTCTTCCTATGAAGTTCCATAAACACACTGCAGTGGAACTTTTTATTTTATTTTATTTTATTTTTTAAACAGGAACAGGACATTCCAACAAGGTAAACTACATATTAAAAGATTTAAAACTTCTAGAAGAAAGCAAAGAATATTGCCATCTGTGGAAACAGGTTAATGTTGGCTTGTTTTCAAGGCACACGGAGTAATTAGATTCTTTATGAGCTATCATCTTAGATGTGTGCAGTCCTGGACAAAGCACTACTTCTGCAATGACAGTTCTTTATGCAACAAAAGAAAGCTGCTGTGGAGCTGATGTTAGCTTCATCAAGTACAGGAGCCACAACCTCCTTAATCACTAAAAATAACCCAATCCTACTTCTGTAACTTTTCTCTCCTATTTCACTGCCCTCTAAGACATGCTGCCAAGATCTCATCCACCTGCAAGGTAACACTTGTATCGCATAACCCAGGACCTGACACAAAGCAACACAGCAGCATTATGTGTTTTTTTTTGAAACAGGAAGAAGCAGACCTCAGACCCATAAAATTAACACCTTTTGAGAAGGCAAAATTCCTCTTTAGTGACACTCAGAGAAAACATCCCTTTTGAACTGTCTGTAGAGTATGACACAAAGAAACAACAGGGCTTAATTCTTTGGCTTTATACCTGGTGAAAACCTGCTTACTTGCCTTCAAACCTGCCCCAAAGAATTGTCATGTAACAGGAAACCAAACCAGACCTTGGCACATAGAAGTGTCCGGAGAGCGCTGAAGGTAGGCAAGAGAAAGCATCAGAAGGAATATCACAGTTACAGCTATGAGGTTCTTCCTTTCTTTTGCCAATTTGTGAATCAGTTTCTAAAAGGTGAAACCCAAGAGCTGCTTATAAAGAAAGTCATACATAGGGCTGCTGTCACAAATACAAGAAAAATATAGCACTTCTTCTCCTGCGAACTAGAAGAAATATTAACAAAAAACCCACTATATGTAAAGTGCACTTTTTAACGTGACATAAATTGAGTAGAATTAGCTAAAAATACAAGGTGTTCTTTGACCATCAAATATATTTAGAGGTTTCTGCTTCTATCTACAACTCTCCATTTGGAAAAGTACACAATTCTTTTGAAAAAACTGAATATTTACAGCAATAAACATGATAATAATAATAAAAAAAAAAAAACACCAAACAAACACACCACTTTCTGTGTACAATCCAAAAGCTAAAATGTTTAAACACACGCCTTACCCATCGCAGATTTGTCTAATTACCTCTTGCTCAAAAGGAAAGCACCCACCTGTAACTGGACACTTCTAAATCTCTTATTTACAGTCTATAGACCACCATTCAACACATTTCAGTCCCTCAGACTCAAAGTAGGAAGTTAACACAGTAAACTCACTGCAGTGTGGATAATTTTGTCACTGTTTAAGGTTTGTATGTATTTCTGCAAATATGATGCATCCTTTACTGCACAGTGACGTAGAAAAATCTAACTGCAGCAAAATAAACACAGAATTCCTACACTCAGTGGAAACCCACGTAAGGTCCTAATAATCAAGTTGGCTTTAGAAAACATTTATTACATACAAGATTTTTCTCTTTTTTCAAAACACTTGCTATCTACAGGTATGAGACTTGCCTCCTTCATGTCCAACATGGGAAATCAGATGAGCTGCAGTAAAAACTGACTGATGAAGAGTCTGAAAAAGATCCCCAAGCCCAAATCCCTACCAGCTAGTTAAGCTGAATTTAGATGATTGGTATAAGGTGGGGAAAACAGTGTCTATTTTTTATTAATCAAGTATCCACAGGATCTTCATTTATTTTTCTCATTCCTTACTCAAGACAATTTTTCACTGACTTTCACAAGGTGCCAATCTGTGCTAAAATTGGATAATCAATGTAAAGCAAGGAAGTGTACAGGGACTTAAGTATGCCCAAGCTTTTCTTACCAGAAAATTGCTATTTGCTTCACAAAAGTTCCATCTTAATAGGTGTTTAAATCGCAAGACAAATTTAATTGAAATCAAAAGAAATCTTCACAGATTTCCAACATACTTTTACAAGACAGATCAGGAATTTTACAAGTAACTTGTTCAGAGCTACAACAGGTACTAAGCTGCTAAGTACATCGCATGATAAGCTGAGAAATTAAATTTTTAAGACAGTACAGAGTATTAAGAAAAAATATTTTTATACATGCTTGTATACAAGGGTAAAAAAACCCCTAGAGATTCTCTAAAAGCTTCCAAATTTAATTTTTCATGTTATGTTTGTTGCCTTAATTATATACTTTAACTCTTTCAGAACACTCTCAAACCTTAAGAACCAAGAATTCTGAACTGTTACTTAACACATAAAAATGGAAAGAATTGTGCAATATATAAAAAGCTTTTTTAACACTAGGTTCAGAAAAGTATGAAATCATCAACCTAAAAGTCCCTGTGATGAGAAATGAAACAGTAATTTGTCACACTGACATACTTTTTGTATAGCATTTTGCAAACACAAAATAAATCCTACAGATTGATGAACCATTTTCCCCACAACTACGCGACTTGAACAGAGAGCAAGATGTGGCAGAAAGCGACAGACTTGAGGACTCTTCACTCATCAGATTTCATCCTAGTCAAACCACAACGATTTGTACCAGACAGCTCTTGCATGGTATTTGCTAATGTAAAAAAGCCACAAAATTATTTACAATACCATTAAAAATGTCCATCAAGAAAATATCCAGCAGCGTAACAGAAACGGAGTTGTAGTGGGTTTTTCTATAAAGCCAGTTTAAGAAACTTTAACACATTTTGAGAATACTAGCTAAAATAAATGCATATATGGAAAATATTAAGAGGCAAGTTAAAAGGCACAGCATGAGGTATATCTGCATTTGTAGCATATGTATGAAAAATAGAACAAATTTTCTTTTATTTTCCTCTAAGCATGAGCTGAAAGAAACTTTAATTCTCACTAGAGAACCTTTATGATGTCTGACCTTTCAATTATTTAACATTACATTACTTCCTCAAAGAAATAAACTACACACTCGCTTAGGAGAATAAATGCATATTATGGCCTAAAAAAACAGGCGAATTTAATGCATTATACTGAAATTTGAAATGCTTACCTGTCTTGATCTGGGTCTTCCAGGAGAAAACTTGCGTTTGGTGATGGCTGGTTTTCCCATGCCAATTTTTGGAGTGACTGGTATGTACGTCGTTGGGACAGCACTTCCAGCAGTGGAAGGCAATGCTGGGGGCTGACTGTGCTGTACATCTCGTGCAGAATGCAAGTCTAATGAAACATCTGGCGAGGAAGACACATTTGTCTTGTTTATATTAACTGATGGGGGAAGTGAGGGGTAAGTCTCAGCTGGTGATTTGATGGGTTTGTCTCCAACTGGTGAACTATTTGCCACACCTTCATGTGCGGAAGTAGTTTCTACTTCTAGAAGAGCTGGTGTTTCTGACTTGTCACGGCTTTCTTCTTTTTCTACATCTTTTTGCACTTTTGTTATTTCCAGTTGTTGTTCTACAGGAATACAAATATCTCCTTTACTTTCAGTCTCCTGTATTTCTGGCATCACAGTTATGGTCTCGGGTACTGAAGACAGAGACCGAGAGTCTACTGTGCATACTTCTGATACCTCCACACTACCTTGTGGTGGCAGCTGTGTCTCTTCCACTTGTTTGTCTAAGTCCTGCTGTATTACAGCTTGAACACTTTCCATCACTTCCATCATTTTCTCAGTCTGACTGTCACCAGATGCTGGTGTCTTTTTAGGAGACATTTCCATTTCAGATGAATTAACTTCAACAGAGACTTCTGTTTCCAGTTTTGTGGTCTTTTCTTCTGGTGATATGCCTGTAACTAAGGACAACCACATTAAAGGCTCAGTGTGAAAAAGAAAAACTTAAACCAGTGTACCAGTCAACAAGTCTACTTGGTACACATCAAGTACCTATAACTGTACCTAAGTGAATGTAATACATAGCTTAAAATACGCTCTATAAATATCTATCTTTGTACCTACGTTTACAGTAGTCTGTATTTTTCGTACATCACTATTTTTCTCTCCTGGAAACACAACAAAGTAAATCACAAGAAAGTACACCCAAGATTAATTTTTGAGGAATCTGAACACACGTTTCCAGGTAGGCTGCTAAAAGCAGCTTCTCCTTTTTCATTTCTGCATATTGAACATGTATGCTAGCATAAATTAATGTATTTTAAGCAACTGTCCCAACACTTCCAAAAAGCAGACAGCTAAGAAGAACAGGAAAAGTACAAATAAAACATTTCCCTCCTAGTGCTCTTCCAGACTTTAGGAAATCACCTGAAATAAAAACAGTCGATGCTGGTTTTTTATTTACTAATGTCTCATAGATTTCTTTCAAAAATATTTGTCTACCCTTCCCTTGAACCAAATAAAGTACCTTTCATCCCCAAATTTCTTTACCAAGGAGTTCTAGAGTCTTGTATCCATTCCACATAGAATCACATTCTTTGCTTTGAATTTGGCTTCTCATATCCCCTTTTGATGGACCCTGATGCTCTGACACGCTACTTACTTTCTATTACACTTGCACTCTTCTTAGAAAATTCACACTGCTACAGCATCCTCAGTCACTACAGTTCAAAGCCCAGCATTTTATGGTGAATGCGTCTTCACTGAGAGTTTTAAATTATGGCCCTTATACCACAGGCTGTGATGCATAACAGAGTGATCACAGCTAGCCTGCAAGATATTTTTTTTGCTTTGGCTTTAAATGCAGGTTTCTTGTTTCCCCTTGGAGCAACCATTCTCCAACATCAGCTGGGAGTGGACAGGACATACTGGGAAAGTTCTTTGCCATTGTTATTGGTCACTAACACATTTAGAGGACTTGACCCAGAAACCATTCTAATTGTATTCTTTTCTCTGGCTAGTACTTCATATGTGATTGATAAGACATACTTATTTCCAGAACACTAATGATCAGATACTGCAGCACACCCTGTCTCGATGAGTACATTTGTTTATTAAACAAATTATCTGTTATTTACAAAGGGAAGAAAATAAAAGAAAAAATCCTTAACCATAGATACTTGTGGAGTTACAACCACGAAGCACAAACTGGAGAGTTCTACAGTGTGCCCGAAAACACACCAGGGGAAATCAATCCGGTTATTTGCAGCTACAAACTGAAGAGACTTGAAGAGCACATGCGAGTGACTGTATTTGAATAGCAGCATAGTGGTTTTTACTATAAACTTCCAGTGTATAAAAGCATTTAACTATATTTCCAGCTTTTGGAGAAAGTCAGTCCCACCAAGCAAAACAACTTTCTCCTACACAAATATTCTGAAGATTATCTTTGCCTTCAATAAAATATTTCTTCTGCAAAAAATTTAATACTCTTGCCCAAGAGTTCAGATAGTAGAACTGATGCAATTTGTCTCCTACTGCTTTCCAGGCACTTTTTCCTCTTAGATTTATAAAGTACCACAAACCTTACTGAATGGAAGAGGGTTTTTAAGGGTCTGTACTGGCATTTTCTCAGACTGCAAATCACTTTCTTACCGTCTGTGACACATCCAACAGCTGATTCTTGACCAGGGTCGTCACCAGTAATTGGTTGTTCGTGAAATGTCACATCTTCTCCACCACTTTCCATTTCCATTTCATTTGTACAAGCTTAAGGAGAGGCAAAGAAGTTATCAAAATTGATATGATGTTTATTCTATTACTTTATTAGTAGTTCCTGTCACCGTTTGACCTTTTGGCTAAAGAGAATGATATTTATGATAGGAGTCAGGACAAACCAGGTCAATGAGAAGGTTAGGGAGACTCTTCTCATTAACACTGAAGCGGCTTTATACCTCTCAGACAGTGAAAAATGTCTGTAAAGCAATTACATACACCTAATTGTGAAAACTTAATTTACACATCGTCACAGATTTTTGCATTACGTGAGCAATACAGAAGGTCTTTTCTCAAATTCCAGTCTGCTAAATTTAACAGAACTTGCAGCATGAAGGCTTCAAATTTTTATACAAATACTACAGTGGCCTATAGTATAGATCCAAGGTTCCATCTACTAGCAGCATTTGGAATACTGATTTTCAACCCACCTGTTCAACAACACGAAAACTAAATTTTGCCACTTTAGAACTAGGAAACTTTAATCTGTGAGTTCCTCATATTAAATGAAGGAATTTGCATGGAAAAGTTGCTGCTGAACGCTTCTTTGGCTGCCACTATGATTATGGAGCACAGAAACAGGAAATACTTATTTTTTCCTCATCTAACAGCTTTTTCAGTTAAAGAAATCCATTAAAATGCACTAGACAAAGTAGGAGCAGGAAAAACAAAGTATGTAGTAAACGTTAACTCAAAAGGAACTGAACCTCCACAGACGTTAGCACAAAAAAAGTCAAATGAATACAGCTTTCTGTTCAGGAAAGTCTCTTCAAGGCTCAAAAGGCCAGAAGCTATTAGGTGATGCTACTTTTAGCACCTAAAAACTGCTCTCAGACTCTGCCAACTTTAAAGTGATATTTTAACTCTGAGGAAATGATCATTTAGATTGGCTCCAAGTCTGATTTTAATGTACAAAAGGGTTCTCCTGGGTATAAACACTGCATGACTGTACTGATGTAATAGCTCCAGATTTTACCCCTAGTAGCTGAGATGACAGTCCTGCTCTTCCTTGGGGAGAAGGGTACGCTTGTCAATGCTTCTACTAGCTAGCAAACCTAACAGAAGGATTATTTAAACTTTACTCTTTCAAATGAGACCCTCTATAGATAGATACAAGCAGGCTCATGCTCACAAGCCCTGATCCTCATGGGGGACTTTAACCACCCTGACACCTGTTGGAGGGACAGCAAAGCAGGACATAAACAAGCCAGGAGGCTTGATGACAACTTCCTTCTTCAAGTGACAGAGGAGCCAACAAGGAGAGGTTCTATGCTGGACCTTTTTCTCACCACAAGGAAGGGCTGGTGGGGAATGCGAAGCTCAAGGGCAGCCTTGGTTGCAGTGACCGTGAAATCATGGAGTTCTAGATCCTTAGGGCGGCGAGGAGAGCTTACAGCAAACTCAGTACCCTGGATTCCAGGAGAGCAGACTGGCTTCCCCAGGGACCTGTTAGCAGAGTACCATGGGATAAAGCCCTGAAGGGAAGAGGGGCCCAAGAAAGCTGGTCAATATTCAAGTATCCCTCCTCTAAGCTCAGGAGCGATGCATTCCAACAAAGAGAAGGGTAGGCAAAAGTGCCAGGAGGCCTGCACGGATGAACAAGGAACTCCTGGACAAACTCAAACACAAGAAGGAAGCCTACAGAGCGTGAAAGTAAGGACAGGTAGCCTGGGGGGGAACACAGAAAAACTGTCTGAGCATCTAGGAATCAGGTTAGGAAAGCTGAAGCCCCCATAGAATTAAATTTGGTCAGGGACATCAAGGGTAACAAGAACTTCTGCAGGTACAACGGTGATAAAAGGAAGACTAGGGAAAATGTCGGCCCTCTCCAGAGGGAAACAGGAGACCTGGTTATCCAGGATATTGACTTCTCTGCCTCAATCTTCACTGTCAGGAGAGGAAAACACACTGCCGCAGAAGGCAAAGGCAGGGACTGGGAGAATGAAGAACCGCCAGCTGTAGGAGAAGATCAGGTGCGAGACCATCTAAAGAACCTGAAGGTGCACAAGTCCATTCGACTCAAAGAGATGCACCCAAGGGTCCTGAGGGAACTGGTGGACAAAGCTGCTAAGCCACTATGCATCGTATTTGGAGAACTCATGGCACTCTGGGGAAGTTACTGCTGACCCGAAAAGGGGAAACATAACCCCATTTTTAAAAAGGGAAAAAAGGAAAGCCTAGGGAAGTACAGGCCAGTCAATCTCACCTCTGTGCATGACAAGATCATGGAGCAAATCCTCCTAGAAACTATGCTAAGGCACATGGAAAACAAGGAGGTGATTGGTGACATCCAACATGGCTTCATGAAGAGCAAATTGTGCCTGACAAATTTGGTGGCCTTCTATGACAGGGTCACAGTGGTGGTAGATAAGGGAAGAGCAACTGATGTCATCTATCTGGACTTGTGCAAAGCCTTTGACACTGTCCCAGACATCCTTGTCTCTAAATTGGAGAGATATGGATTTGACAGATAGACCACACGGTGGATAAGGAATTGGCTGGATGGTCGCACTCAAAGTCTGTCAGATTTTACCTTGCTTCCAAATTTAACCACAACTGTACTTCTCTTAGGAAATTCAGCTTGCATGAGATTAGGTGCTATCTAACAGAGCACATGGTGTGAAATACACACAGGCATTCAGTTATGAGCTCATTACACAGGTCTTGTGGATGACCCACTGGACTCAGATCAACAGATCCAAGTTCCCCCTGTGCTTCCTTACTGTCACTAGGCAATTTAAAAGAAAAATCAAAAAACAAAACAACTTTGCACTTTTCCAGAACTTCCCTTTCCACCTTTTGATTGATTTGTCCATTCAGAATCTTTCAGAAACAAGATGACTAATCATATAGTATTTTGAAAAAAGACACCTGATTAAAAGCTGTTTAGTTAAACAAACCTGTCCCTTGAACACTGTCCAGCTTCCACTACTGTGTCCCACCTGCACATAGTGAGGAGAATGGTACTGTGAGACGGACATGAAGAGGGAAACAGGAAAACTGAATGTCTCCAAGAACGTCTACCAGAATTTGGCTTGTGCTTAGTAGTTAGGCACAAATGAATACAACAATTAGGTTATCAAATTAATACATTTATGAACTGTACCACATCCAAAAAAATAATTGGGAAGTTTACAGCTACAGGCTGGGAAGCTGGAGCTGGAAGGTTGAAAGCCACCACTAAGGTGCCCATTTGCCCATGTCTCCAATACAGGATCCTGAAGCCAGAAACATACTGAGATGACAGCTCACCCATGGATCGCTTGAGAAGCTGCTGCTAAATAAAGGAATGGATGAACTCCACAGGTTAGAATATGAGTGGCTGGTTCACAGAAGACTTAGTGAGACAGCTGCAGATATTGATATTTGATGTTAGCATTTTAGAAATACAAATATTATATTTGATTACCTGTTACACCATCAGGTTCAGGAATGAGTTCAGAAGTGTCCATTACATCACATGACTGAGTCTGATCCCCTTCTCCTTGTTTACAAAGAGTGCAGATGTAGTCTTTCAACTGAGACTCCAATTCACTACCTGGAGATCTGTCACATTCTATATGAATCCACCTGGGGAGATTAATTTAGGGTGACTATGATTTTAATAATAAAAATATAAAGTATCCTAGTAAAAGTAAAATTAAAAAATAGCAGGTTTCCATTCCTATGGGAAAATAAACAAATTTCAACCAATGCTTTATTATGGAGAATTTTAGACAAATAAGTATGATATGTCAGTATGTCAAGCAGTGCAATTTAAACACAAAGACCTGAACTGTCACTCAAGCCAACTGGACACCACAACACTATAGCAACATCAAGATGTTGCACAGCAAGATACAATAGCACTGAATACGAAATACAGACTACATCCTAAAAGGTTCCCCACAGCACTTTTTCTGTTTGTTTGTTTCGTTACTGGCATAGCAAAACATTTAAAATTAAAAAGATAATATATACTTGAAAATTTTAAAAAAACAGACCATGGCAAACAACAGTCTTTAAAAGTTAAGGCGATGACTCTTACAGTCTGCCTACTCACAAAGTAGATGCAGTGTAAGAAGCAGCAGCAGCACGTATTTCTCTGTACTCCCCAGGTAACTGCCAATTAATACTTATTTGCCAAGATTAAAATAAGACTAACTACTATTGTTTATTGTATTTACGGATGAAGGATCAAGTTGTTGCACAACTTCAACACAACATCAAACACAGTCTACATCCTTCACAGAAACGCATCCATGTCATTCAGCTCACCATAAGCTTTAGGAATTTTAGTACAATTTAACAAAAATTAGGATTCTTACCTTTTGCACATGTGACAATGCAACATATCTTTCTGGAAGTCTTGGAGGCACAGTTTTTCACAGAAAGGACAAGATAAGTTGTCTTGTTGTTGGTAACAACTGTCACATACCAAACAATTATGGTGCCACTGACAACTTGTTCGTGTGCCACACTCAGCACATACTCTACAGTTCTAGAGATCACAAGAATTTAGTTGTTAATTAGGATATTTCACAATGTGATAGAACTGACATTAACTGACATTTTCCTGATTTAAATTAAATTAAATAAAGTTTCTGTCCTTGATAATACTAATAAATTGCCCAGGATCTGATAACAGAGCATGAAGTTTACATTTTAGTTTACATTAGATCATGAGAGCAGCTGTCATTAAGCGAAGGTTATCCACTCCACCTGGATCCTACACTTCTCTTTTCCCCTATGGGGGTTGATTTACTGCCCTACACAGGCTGCTTCAGCCCCTGCACTGACAGCTACCCTCACAGAGCAGCTGTACAGCCACACAACTACATACAAGTGTGATTCCTTCAGATATTACAAGTTATGTTACACAGCAACAGCAGTCCACGATACACCTAGAACAGCATATGTGGGTAACAAAAATTGGTCCCCTATAATGACAAGGAATTATTCTGAAACCTTCCAACTTACCTTACATTTCCAACCATTTGTTGGTACAGCATCCATAACTGGTTGTAGACAGAAAGTATGGTAGCCTTTGTCACATGTATCGCACACCAGCATCTTGTTGTCTTCCCCAGAATGTCTAAGAAAAGTAACAAGTAGTTTAAAAAAACTTTATTTAAACAAGCCATAGCAAAAAATCTATTTAACTGGAAGTCTAAACAGGAAGACACAAAGCAAAGCATATGAAAATATATGAATACCACTTACAAACAGCTCCCAAGATAATGCCCATAAATTAATCTTTAAGTATGAATGAAGACCACTATGCTTACTTTAACAAGTGCTGAGCCTGTGCAATCATTCTGACTTCCAGAAATCGGCCCACTTTCATCTACACACACTTAGGCAGATTTAATGGCCTTTCTGTACTGAAATCTGTTCAAAATCTGAAATATGTACTTTATTTCTTTCTGAGAAGAGCATGCAGTTGTACTTGTTCCTACAAACAGTCTGACTGTATTTTTTCCAAGGAAAAAAAACAAGCCATCTCCACTGACTGACAGAGCTCCTACAATGTCAACCAATATGACTGCAAGAGCAAACCAAACATTAAATGAAGATTTCAATTTTCCTCCAATCACATAATAAACAGCTCCACCACAAACTTCAGTGATAAAATAAACGTGTAGAGAGTAAGATAAATAGTTTGGTAATATCTAAAGGCATTGTGTTCTGTCTTAGTTTAAATACATTAATTCAATAAATAAGTGCGTAACAAGATTTGCCTTGATAAAGCTTCAGAATACATGGCACTACACACACTAGATACTACTTAATTATCCGGGAGACCTGATATTAAAAAAAAAAAAAAAGTTCTCTCTTTGCATGGAGATATGCTTAAAAGGCTATTTATAAAATATTTTATATAAAAAACATCATACTGCATAAAATAATAGGTGGGAAAACATCACATTGTCTTCTACTTTTCCACTAAATACTGGAAATACTGTAATGGTATGACATTTCTAGGGATACTTTTTTGAGCATGCTTCACTATTATAACTTCATAGCAAATGCCAGCAATGAGCTGCGTGTGACCAGGAATAAAATCATCTTTAATGTGTGTGAATCTGAATGCTGGCAACTACCAAGTGTTCTGCTTGGAAAACAGCAAAGCATTGACTGATTGAGTACACGAGGCAGTAGTAAATTGGCTTTTTTCCTTCATACTGTCCCAACTGATCTGACTAAAGCTGAACAAAACTCATTTCTTTTTAGTAAGCCCTTCAAGCAAGCAGAAGAACTCTGCAGGGCCCATCAGATTAGGTTATATGAGAACAACTGTACAAGCCCTCAGAGTTTTCTAAATGAACCCTTATAATATTGCAACAACTTTGTTTCGTTGTGTCAGTATTTGTCTGGTGTACCAATGTCACTCCTGTCACTTTTTTCCTTTGTTCAGTTGAGCCATGTTTTTGTTTTCATAATGACTCTCTACCTGCCCCTGAAAGACATTACAAAATAGAAGAGAGGGCTTAACCCAGGGGACCTACCCAGAATGTGGAACGTGCACAGCTGAAATGTCAGCTGAGTAAGAGCACAGGTTCCCACACTGTAAAGGAACTACATTAAAGTAATTGCTAGTTTGGTAAATCTGATAAAAATTCTCCTATATAAAAGCAGGAAAAAGTCAGAAGGTTTTGTTGCTCTCCAGAACCTGCCCCGATAATGGTATCTCTGGGGGTATAATATGCAGGAGTTCCAGCTCAGCTCTTTTAGAAGAAAGTTCCCAACGCAAGGGTTTGTTCAGCTACTGAATATAATGTCATAACATATATATCTGGGCAAATAATCTACACTTCTTGGAAAAAATGAACAGTTAATAAAACAGATCTTTTAAAATCACAGCACATAAATCTCACACTGTCCTCCTCCATGTCCTTTAAGTCTCACTTACTTGCAGTTCTGGCACACTTTGCAATCAGGACACTGCCAACCTGCTCTTTTTAAAGGTGTAACTTGTATGTCCAGGCACATCCCATGGTAGTGCTGGCCACAGGTAGTACAAAAAAGTTGATCTAAGAGGTCTCCAGGGCTGTCGCACACTGCACAATTTGCTTCTTCCTTTGCTACAAAGAAATCATTTTTTCAATTGTTATTTCATTTGAAATTATGAACTCAATGAAGTCAATAAATTCTTTAGTAGTTCTTACACATACAGAACTTGATCATTCTTATGAAATTCAAATTTAATTAATATACTTAATAACTACTCCTTTCAATTGGTTTTCTGATATACTTAAATAGTCTTCTCCTAACAAAAGTAAACATTAAACCTTAATAAAGTCTTACCAAAAGAAAAAGTTTTGTGCTCAAGATAAAACTGAGAGCTTCAGGAACAACTCTTCTCTGGAAAAAGTACAAAATAAAGCTCCTAACAGATCTAAACTTATTATTGAGCTGAAGTGTTTGCAATATGGTTGCCCTAACTTGAGGGCAAGTTAGCAAGCCTATTGACTTGAACTAAAACCTGACAGAAGACAAGCCTTATGAATAAATGCTTCCTTTGTTCTGTCATTAAAAAAAAAAGAAAAATACTAATTTTGCTGTGCACCACTGTCAGCCTGCAAAAACAGAAGAGTATGAACTTGCATCTTTCTCTCTTTCTCATACCCAAACATACATGAATTCTTGGGTACATGAACGGGGAGAACAAATCTAAACAAACGCACTCTCTTAAGCTGATCCTACCACACAGCAGTTTTCACAAAACTTGGTACTAATTGTGTAATTTGAATACTATGTACTTACATCTTTCAGGAGCCTGATCAATGTGGTCTGGACAAAGGAGGGACAAGTTACTGAAATCCTGAAATGTGCCTGCTCCAGCAGCACAGGGGTAATGGTACATCTGGGTACATTTCTCTTCACAGCATTTGATAGTGGCTCCAAGGTGCTTACAATATGCACATCGCTGAAAAATAAATATAATAAATTGCTCAAAACCTATTTTTTTCTTTCAATTTTTTCAGCCAGATCTGTTCCCCAGTCTCTTTTAACAGACAAACACCCCAGCCAGCAGAAGGGAGTGAATACTGTGGAGAAGGAAACTAGTGGACTGTGTCTTTCAATGGCACTCCCAGATCTTTCCAGCTTAAAATGTTTACTGAAACCCACTCTAAATGCACTCTGATGAGCAAGATTCTTCTCATCAGAGTAAAGGGGCTTGGAGACTTATCCTGAGTAACAAGGCAGACCCCACTACGCTGCCAACAGGTTATAACTAAAAACCACAAAGCTCTGCAAGTTGTAATGCGAAACTGCAGACGCTGTAATCAGAAATGCAAATGCAAATGAAAGTATCATGTTCTACTGAAAATCTTGTTGACATTAAACAATTCTCCCTGGGATGATAATACATTACATAACCTAACACTTTCTTCTCATCTCTCCTTTCAAGGCTACACAAATATCACCGCTAAACTTCAATCAGCCACAAATAAGCATGATTATTATTAAAGACCATAGTCACATTTGTAAAGAAATAATTTCTCAGAAAGGACTACGCAATAACCCTCCAGTTCTCTAGTCAAGAGGGAACAGACTCCATCAGCCTGCTTGTAAAATATCACCCACACCTTTCTGATTCAATTAATCAGCCTTTTTCCTTCTTGGTTTCATTACAGTCCCTGAAGCACTGTAACATGTTTTTGCACTTTTTCACCAAGGCAACAAGACTTTAAGGCTAGGGCACAGCACCGTAAGATTTGGAGTAAACTTAAGAAAAAACAGGTCAGTGGCTTCACAGGAAGGCATACATAACATACAGCAACAACTGAGCTCAGCGACTCTCACTTTTCATAATAAAAATATAATACTAACATTGGCATGTTTGATTACTAGCTCGGGTAAAGTAACATCCAAATATGAACATATACCAAATAAAAAAAAAGTTACATACTGCATCTGCTTAATTCTTAGAATTCAGACAATATTTATTACCTAATTCTTCTGTGTTTCAAAGCCTGGCATGAAATTAGGCATGAAATAGTGCTACTACAAGCCCACAGATATCAAAAGCAGCCTATACCAAAATACAAATCACAAAGCTACCTGTGTTAACAACTATACTGACACTCTTAAAACCAGACTAAATTAATGCCTTCAGCAAAATATCTGCCTGCACCACAACTCACAGACAAGGGAAAGAACAAATATTAGTTTACGCTGAACACAACTGCATTGTAAAAAGATAAAATGCTTCAGCACAGAAACTGAAGTGGGTAAGGATAACTACTGCCATGTTTCTGTGCTTCAGATGTGCGAGACATCTCTCCTCTACCCTTGTCTCCAACACCTACTAACAGCATGGAAAAGATACATTCTACTTTTCTAGATGAAATGTAGAGAGGAGGAGGGACAAGATAAGCAAACAGTTAGACAGCATTCCTGAAGCAGGTGAAGACGGTAGCAACACCAATTAAGTTTAAGGACTGACAACAAAAGCAAAGTCATGCAGGAAACTTGTTTCAGAAAATTATATATTCAGTAAACACTCTCTGAGAATGCTGTACAAGGTAAATCCTGGACTTAGATGTGAAATCCTGAAAATACAGCCCAAAGCCTCCAGCTTCATGAACTGCAGCTTCACGTTAAATAGCATACAACCCATTGCACTTTTCATACTTGACACTCCTACAGCCTATTGAGACGGCCCAGACTATAGCTAAGGCCCAACTCTTACAGACAGGCCACACATTTTTCAAAGATATGACTCGGTAAGAAACACTAGAAAAGGCAACTTGGAAGGAACTCAGGTCCAAAATGTGTCCCTCAAGAAAGCTTTGAACAGAGACTTTGTTGTATCTCATAATTAACCCTTAAGAATTATCTAACTGAGAAAAAATTTTGAAAGGACTGCAAGCACTCTAATAATCTAACATGTACTAAAAGCTGGAAATAATGGATTAGAATAGCAATATTAATGGTATTTCTAAGCATCATCTCTGTTTTTCAAAACCACCAATCAACAATGGTACATAACAAATGTAAAATCAGAATATACCTTTTTCCAAATACTATATGACTATATGACGAAATTATTAGAGAAGAGCAAACTACAGGATTACTACAAAGCCTTGGAAAATGTTGATGTTGATTTAAGGGATCATGTAAAGATGCTGGAAGAAAAATGGAAGCCCAAATTACATTTAATTGAACCCTTCAAACCCATCTGCTAAACTGCACTGGCAATGAAAAGCATTTGGCAGCTAAGTGAAACACACTCTTTAAAAACAATGTGGTATATATCATGTGAAGCAAATAAAAAAGCACAGAATATCAACATTTGCTGAATTTATAAGAGAGATAAAGCAGTCTGAAGAAACAAATGCCCAAAGGGATTTTTTTTGGCAACAGCTGTTGATGAGGAGAGTTCCTCTTCCAGCACTAGAAGCCAACGCTTCTCTGAAACCAGGCCACATGCTATGACCCCAGAAGAACAAGTATGCAGCTATTACAATTAATTGACCTTCACAAAGAAACTAAGGATGTGAACAGCAAAACTATGTTAATTTAAAAATAAAAATTAAAAGCTCTGGTAAATAAAGCCATTAACAGATACTACTTTACTACTCTTGCTAAAATACAGCATCAGGACAGTAGGAGGTGGGAGGAAGGAATAAATCATATCGCCCATGAAATGCGAGTGTCTTTATCACAGTGTCTGAGGACAGTAACAGAGACAGTACGGAGTCTTCAGTTTCATTAGCACAAGCAGAAAATAAGGCGTCATGTGAAGGAGACGGAAGCCGAATCTGAGTATTCAAAAGGGAAATATAGGAAAATGGTAAGCTGCCAAAGCAAGCCAAACACCGTTTTGTTCACAGATCAAATAATTTTACAGTCCTGTTCTACAGAAAATAAAACTTTACAAGGTGTCAGAAAGCTGAAGAGATAGCTCATTACTTATTCATAGTACATTCAACAAAATAAATGTCACTAAAGCAGAGCCAATACACTATGTTCCTAGTCAAAAACTCTTTCATTGGTTACTGTTTTCTCCAGCAAGCTCCCAGAGCACTCATCCAGAGCAATAAATCTCTGATCCCATTCATACCTCTGCTACTTCTTACTATTGTAACTTCCACCATTTAAAACTGTCCACACCTCCTTCTACTTGGTCCTTTTCATCTTTTTCTTTTACATCTGGGGTTTTTTGGTTTTTTTTCCGCACAGACAGAAAAGATTCTCATTTCTAAAAGCAAATAGCTATGCGGTCTTTTACATTTCATTTTAAAATTCCCTTTATTCACTAAACCCGTTGGATCAAACGTGACATTGATACACAAATACAGTGAAAGAGGAAGAACAAAGTGAATTAACACAAAACGTAAGAAAACCTGCTCAATCTCCTCCCCTCTTTTCTAGTTGTACGGGAATACATCCTCCATGAAACAGAGTAGCAGAAACCACTCAGAAAATTTCTGGGAAGATAAAAACTCGTACAACCATGCTAGAATCGTAATTGTACCAAAATCAACTGAACAGAAAGTTCAACCAAAGCTCAACCAAACATCACAAATGCTACTGGCTTTACTGGAAACAGACAGTAAAATGGTGACAAGAGAAACAGCTTAATTACATCTTTCTAACCTTCCTACACCATTAAAAAAACCAAGACATAGGGTGTATTCCAACTTCACAGAAACCTTCCTGCTGCTCCAGACTTCGAAGTACTCCAAAACTCAGCGCAAGTTCAAATGAAGATGCCGGTGTTTATGATAACCTAAGATTTTATCCCGATAGTACTAACAACAAATCAGAGATCATGTTTATCATTATTTTATTGCCCTTAGAATTACTTTATAGCATTACCGTCTCAGTAACCGGACATGTATCATCAACCCACAGGAGGCAGACATTAAAAAAGGCGAAGAAATGGACTTTGAATAAATACTCAGTTAAGACTTGATTAGTGCAGTAAAGTTAAATATTAATATTAGGTATTGCAAAATGTTTTTTAAGCAAAATGACAAAAGGTTGTCACTGATTATGAACTTATTAAGCTTTAAAAAGGTCAGCCAACAAAACCTACGATAACTATAAGCAATTTTATGATAGTGTACCCAAAAATGCACCCGAGACATGTGTCCTTAGTTAACCAATTTAATGTATTACCACTAAGAACAAATTTCAGACTGTTTAGCTACTGAAAACTGCTATTATATAAACCTGTAACCAAGGAGAACTGGACCTTAACATATTGTCATTAAAGAGACTGCAAAGAAATTTCAGCATAGAAATGAAATATGTTCTCTGGTGGTTCTGATAATCTTCATTGATTAGTCCATGATCTAGGAAAAGCTTTATATTGCTTATAGACACTGATCACCATTATCACTTCTAATGTCAAATACACTGCTTTAAGTAGTATAAAGCATGAAAACAATTAATGGCTTTTGACTGAGCTGCTGATTAGAAAAGGTACTCAACAACATACATTTCCAGGAGTACTAGAAATTACCTTCTAATTTTTTAATTTTGCATTATCATGTCACAAATTTGGAAATTACTTACATTTGTAACAAGCAATCCAATCGGAGATCAGTTATTTTTGTTCCTCAATCCTTAACACGTACCAAAATTGAAGAAACTAAAATTAAGACTTCTCTCTTATAACTGTAATTTAAAACTAAAATGTTATTAACAGAGACAACATGTATTAAAACTTGACTATAGTGTCCACTTTATGCTCCGAGTACTCTGAAGTAAATTTAAAAAAAAAGGAAAAAAATCACAATTGTAGAAACAAACTATCAAGTTTTGCTTCTAAAACTATATGAAAAAACATGAACAGCCATAAGAGATGCAATTTGGCCAAGCTCAATACACGACTGAGAAAGACTGTCTTCTAGCGCAGAATTCTTGACCAAATACTCCACCTGTCCCTGATCTGCCCAGTTATCTATACAG